CAGGAACTTGGCGATGCTGTTGTGCTGGTCCTGCGGGGCGGTACAGGCGGTACCGGGCACACCGTGAGGGCGCCGCGCAGACGCCCACGAGCCGCCAGCCCCAGCCTCACAGAAAGCAAGCGTCCTCCCTGCCACCAAACCCAGCCAAGCTTCCTCCCCCAACGAAACCCAGCGCCCGGCGCGGTCGCCGCTGCGCCGCGCACCCCGGCCGCCCACCCCGTCCGGCCACCCCGCGCGCGGTGCACCGCAGCAGCGTGCGCACGGCGCGACAGCAACAGCACGCAGCGGCGCTGCCTGCCTGCACGCCCCTGCCCCCCCACCTTGGGTATGGTCTCCAGCACCTCCGCCGCCGTCTCCAGGTCGCCGCGCAGCACCAGGGTCTTGTACTCCACCACCGACAGCAGCAGGGTGTAAGGCACCACCCCAAAGTCCTTGTCCATGAGGTACACGCGCGACTGGGAGGCCAGGTAGCCCAGCAGGTACATGGGCCTGCAGGGCGGCGGGGGCGGCGGGGAGGGGTTACACAGAGGGGTAGGGGTTAGGGGCAGGGGCCAGGGTTGGGTTTTGGCTGGTCGCCAGCGGGGGCCCTGCCCCACACGCCCCGCCGGCGCGCCTCCCTCAGGTATCGACACCTCCCTCCCAGGTGGAGAGGTACACCCCTTGACCCTGCCGACGCTGGCCTCCCAGCCGCGCCCCGCTTCACGCCAGCACCGCGCAGCCTGTGCCGCGCAGCTGTGCGGGGGCCTCACTTGTCAAGGTGGAAGAGCGTGGTCACCTCGCCGCCGACGCAGTAATTCAGGCGCCAGGCTGCGTTGTTATAGACGAAGCAGTCGCCCACCTGGCATTGCAACACAAGCACAAGGGGTGGGGGTGACGAGGGGCCGGCGAGGCAGGCGGGGAGGAGCAGGCAGGCTGGGGAGGCGGGCAGGCAGCAAGGCAGAGCCAGGCAGACGGCAGCGCAAGCAGGCAGCGCGAGGGGGCCAACCCTGCACAGGCAGGCGCAGGCAGGTGCGTGCAGGCCGGGGGCAGCCAGTCACCCAGATGCCGGTGCGGATCTTCTCCGGGATCTCAGAGGTGAGCTCAAAGGCATCCTCAATGCCGTCCTCATCCACCTCCTGCAGCACGCAGCAGGAGTGGCAGGCAGTACCAGGCAGTGCACTCGACCTATGCTTGCACAGGCCCCTCAGCGAGCCCACACTGAGCGTCCAGCCAGCCATGGCTGAGGAAAGGAGCCAGCGCGCACGCCCTCCTGCAGCTCCGACACAACCACCAGCACCAGCACCACCACCACCATAGAAGCGGTTGCCAGCAGGCAACAACAGGCTGAGAGCTGCGCTGCACCAGCTGCGCCGTACGCAGCAGCAGCCCCAGCGGGCAGCAGGCCCCACCTCGCCCGAGGCCAGGAACGACTCCGCCACGTCCCGGTTGTACTCCAGCATGTAGAAAGAATTGTCCGAGGCGATGGCCACCAGCGAGCCGCCTTCGCTCCAGTACACGCCCCGCGCGCCCACGTCGATGCGGCGCACCACCTGCGGCGGGGACGGGGAGGGGACGGGGCGGGGACGGGGTGGCGGGCAGGGGTGGGGGGCATGGCGAGGGAGGGAGGCAGGCAAGGGGTGGGCTCAGGCGGAGCAGCAGTAGCATGCACACCCGCCAACCGTCAACCAACCGCCACACACGCACACATGAGCACTCGCCTTGCCGGAGGCCCAGTCACCTCCCGACCCCCACCCCACCACACACCCGCCTTGCCGGCAACCCAGCCACCCCCACGCCCGCACACCCACCTTGCCGGTGGCCCAGTCGTAGAAGCAGATGAAGTCTTGGGAGCGCACGCCCAGCAGCTGGCCGCCGTAGATGGCGTCGGCGGAGAAGGGGGTCTTGATGGTCTGGGCCTCCTTGAAGTTGCGGTGCACCTTGACTGCAGGGTGGGTCGATGGGGGAGGCAGGGGCAGGGGTAGGGGCAGGGAGGGAGGCCGAAGGAGGAGGGGTGAGGGAGCGAGCAGGTTGTGGTGGCAGGGGGAGAGAGGCAAGGGTGGGAGGCACACCGCGCAGGCCAGCGGCGCAGCGAGGACGGCTGCCAGCCAGCACCCCTCAGCCGGTCGTTGCGCCGTCGCGGCAGGCCCCGCCCCGCCAGGCCCACCAGGCCCACCCCCGCCCGCGCTCACTCGTGTTGCTGCTCTCCCGCGTGGCAAACACGTTAGAGTCATCTCCCCACACAAACTCCAGTGCCGACCCGAAGCTCTTGTTGCGCCAGGCCAGGGCGGTGTAGATGACGTACTCGCCGTCGCCGCACACCGTCACAAACCGGCCGTTGGGGGAGTGCTGCAGGGACTGCGGGTAGATGTCGGAGGAGCCCAGGTCCTTGACCGCCAGCGGCAGCCGCTCGCCGTCGGTCTGCAAGTGGGGCGGGGTGGCGGCCAGGGGGGCGAGGGGGTGAGAATGCGCGCGTGCATGTGGGGGTGGGGGTGGGGTGGCCGCCAGTGGGTGAGAGTGTGTGCGTGCGTTTGGGGGTGGGGGTGGGTGCGGCGGAGGCCAAGCGAAGCGATTGGTGGTTGATCGGGCGGCGCATTGCAGCAGGCTGGAAGGCACGGCTTTGGGAGCACGGCCGGGCCGAGCAGGCGAGCAGCAGGATGCCGCCGCTGCCCAGCTGCCGGCAGCCACTCACAGCCGGCGCCCCCAGCGCCTACCCACCTCCTCCATGTCTCCCAGGCTCTTCACGTTGGCCGTCTGCACTTCGTTGTGCCTGGCCCAGATGATCTTGCCGCTTGCGTCCATGGAGGCCACAGGCTCCTCGCGCCCCAGCTTCACCATCACACACCCCTCGTCGTAGCTGCGAGGGCAGGCGAGGGAGAAGAGGAAAACAGGGCAGGGAGGCGACCGGAAGGGTGAGCGGAAGCGGAGGACACGGACAAAACACAGGCGGCAAGGGGACAGGAGCCGGGGCAGGGCAGGAGGCACAGGTCGCCGGCCCGCCTGGCTGCAGCTCCGCTGACGGCTGCGTCCTGCCCATGCTCAGCTCACCCCACGGCCACGCTGTTGGAGCCCTTGACGTAGCCCACAGCCCACACCCGCTCCATGCCGTAGTTGAGCGTGTTCTCCAGGCGGTACGTGGTGCTGCGGTACAGGCGGGGGCAGCACAGGCGGCCAGGCACACGTCAAGGCACACAGGGATGACAGGCAGCACCGGCATGGGCGCAAGGACGAGCAAACAGGGAGCGTGGCGCGGCTGATGGCCGACGGCAGGGCCCAGGCTCGCACCTCCGCCTCTCCCGACCAACCCTTTTCCCCACATGAAGCACAGACCCCAAACCACAGACACGCACACCCCCACACCCACCTGTGCCACAGCTTCACGGTGCCATCCTCGGAGCCGGTGAGGATGAGGGGCAGCTCTGGGTGGAAGCAGACGGTGGAGATGTTGTGGGAGTGGCCATCTAGCGTCTGGATGCACGCCTTGGTCTGGTAGTCCCACACCTTGACCAGCCGGTCGTCGGCGCCAGACACCAGGTAGGGGCGGTCGCCGCCTGGGCAGGAGGGCGGCAGGGGGAGCAGGCAGGCGGGCAGGCGGTGTCAGGGTCTGGGCCTGCAGGCTGCTGCTTTCCATTTTTTCTTTGCTTCTTAATCTGCACCGCTGCAAGCTGAGCTGCTGCACAATGCCCGCAGCTTCATTTCATGCGGCACCGGTACCGGCACGCACCCGAGTAGTAGTCCACGCAGTTGACCCCCTTCTCGTGCCCCTCCAGCGTCATGTTGGGCGTGGGGTTGCCCAGGCTCCACACCTGCGCCGCACCGCCAGCAGCCACGCCCAGGCATGTCAGCCAGCCAGCCAGCCAGGCCGGCAGTCACCGGCTGCCCGAGAGCAGACCAGCACCAGCCCCTCAAGCTGCTGCAGGGTTGTAGAAGCCACTGTAATGCGGGCCGAAGCTGGGACTCTGCCATCAGCGGCCCAACGTACACCCTGCTCCTCGCACTCTTCGCAACTCAACCAGACAACCAATCCGCCATCCAGCCAATGATTCCCAACCCTCCCACCGACCAATCCACGACATGTACCGTATGCTCCCCTTGGGGCCACACCACCACCACCACGCCACAGAACTCCCACCTTGATGGTGCGGTCTAGCGAGGCGGAGGCAAAGGTGTTTGTGTCCTTGGGGTTGAACACCAGCTGCATCACGTAGTGCGAGTGGCCCTCAAAGATCTGCGCAGCAGACGGGACAGCAGGCAGGGGCAGTCAGGCACGGGGAGGTGCTCAGCGGTGGCATGGAGGCAGGCCGAGAGGCAGGCAGGGTGGGCAGGCCGCGGATGGTGCAGATACTTGCTAGCTCCTGCCACCGCAACAACATGCGGCAACACGCGTTGGCAGTGGCAGCCTGAACCCACTGTTGAGGGCAGGTGCCACGACAAGCACGGCAAGCAGCAGCCCCGCACACCTGGGTGCACTGCCAGCCCTTGTCCCAGTCCCACAGCTTGATCAGCATGTCATCGGAGCATGTCAGCACGTACGGCAATGTGGGATGTACCGCAATGTGCCTGCAAGGGCAGGTCGAGGTGGTGGCATGCCGAAGCAGGCACCCGGTGGCCACACACGAAAGTGTTGCCCATACAAGCACATGGATGGCTGAGCAGGCTACATCTCCAGCAACCACCTCCTCTCTCCCCGCAGCCCCAGCCAGCCCCTCTCCCATACCCTCCTCACACCCTCTGGCCCCAGCCACCCCCAGCCACCCCGGCCAGCGCAGGCGGCGCACCTGATGTAGTCTGTGTGCGCCTCAAACTGCTTCACCTTGTCCATGGTGTTGTAGTTGTACACCCGCACAAACATGTCGTCCGCGCCGCAGACGACCCACTGCTTGCGCGGCACAAACTTGGCGATGCGCACTGCACGGCGGGGCGCGGCATGGTGGGGCGAGGTGGAGGTCGGTGTGTGGGGTTGAGTGCAGAACAGGCACATGCCGAAAAGAGGCAAGCACAAGGCAACTCGCGCCCTCAATAACCAAGGGCAATCTGGCACAGCCTGGCGTGGTTCCACGGGCGCCACCCCAGTTGGTGCAGGCACTTTGCACCGACCCAAATTCAGCATGCTGCTGTCCTCCTGCTGCTGCGGCGGCGACAAAGCGTCAGCTGAGCCTCACCCGGCAGGTCTGTGACCTCAAAAGACTTGACCAGCGACTGCAGGCAGCGGCAGCAGGCAGCACAGGCTCACACACACATGTGCACAAGCCAGCATGCATGGCAGCACAGTGCTGCCGCCTCCGTGCTTGCATTGCCGACACAGTAGGCACCCCGCATGCCAGGTGGAAACTCTGTATCAGACTGGCTAGAGCCCAAAACCTGCAGACCCACTCAAGGGCCCTCGCAAGCTAGCCAGCATGCTGCTCCCCGCTGCTTCGCTTTGCTCGCTGCTGCCCCCAAGTGCTGCCCCACAGCAGCACCTGCTCCGCATAATTCCAGATGTAGACGTGGCCATTATACAGAGACGCCAAGATCCTGCAGGCAGAAAAGGCTCGCCAGGACAGGGTGAGCAAGCAGCGACGGCTGTGCTTGCACGAAGCATGAAAGTGGTGCGTGTTGCAGCGCCGGCAACGCACCAAGGCTCTGTGGGGTGCAGCTCCACGCTCTTCACGCGGTCCGAGCGCTGCGAGAATACTTTCTGCGACAGGGAACACACAGGCAAGGCAAGCTGGCAAGCAAGCGAACAAGCAGAGGCACGCGGGGCGCCCGTCCACGTGGCGCGCCGCCTGCACTGCCTCCCGCCGCCAGGCTGCTGCCCACTGCACGGTGCCAGCAGGGGCCCCGCGGGGCTGGATGACCCCCAGTGCCGTGCCTCACCTTGATATCCAGCCGCAGCGGCTGCAGCAGGGGGAGGCAGGTGATCGCGGCACGGTTGGAGGGCAGCGCAGGCGGGGTGGTCGCAAGCTGAGAGCAGGTGGGCCAGGGAGGGACTCACCATGGCTGCAGTGCGCCGCTTCGATCAGGGCCTCAGGGGCGTGCAGCGCAGCTGTTGCTGTGCCACGGCTCAGGCAACCCCCTTCCCCCGGGCCTGACGGATGCGTTGCGGGCTGGGCGATCAGGCTGGGCGATCTCGAATGCTGGGGCCGCGATGGGGGCGGCATCATTGCCAGGGAAGAAGGTCTGCCAGCTCACCCGGGCCCTCAAAACCGGCCCTGCGGACCTCCCTGCCCCATTCTGCCCTCTAGTCCCCTACCCCCACCCTTGCCGCACACCCCCAGCCGCTCGGCAAGCCAACACCAGCCAGAGCCTGAAACTTACATGACCGGCGTCGACTTTGAGCTCCCGACTTCACTCGCTGGAGGCTTCGGTGGGTGCACGGGCCGGGAAGGTCCCAGGGCCGCCGATCAGCGCCGCCGGCATGAGAAACGGTCCAGAGGCCCGTTGCGCGGCCAGTGCCGGCACGCGGAGGAGGGACCGAGCTGTGGGGCGCACGCTGGGCCCAGCCCTGCGCCCGGCAGCGGCGCCGCAGCACTCCTCAGCCGGACAGCCGCCGCCCCGGAAGCTCCTGTCGCCGGCGGCCGCCGCCGCTGCCGCTGGGACTTGGCTGCTGCGCCAGAATGGCCCAGCCTGACATGCCACGGTGCTGCCCCCTGGTGCAGATCCTTTTGCCGACGAGGTCGCTGCGCCGGGCCCCACCGCCGGCGAGAAGAAGAGCAAGTCGAGCAAGCCTGACGCCGAGGGCTTTGCCGTCCATGTTCGCATGCAGCAGCGCAACGGCCGCAAGTCGCTGACCACCGTGCAGGGCCTGCCAGAGGCGTTTGACTACAAGAAGATCCTCAAGGCGCTCAAGAAGGGTGGGCAAAGGGCTCGGTTGCCAAGCCCAGGCTTGGTTGGGGCTGGGCGCCTGCCTGATGGCGCTGCTGCGTCACGGCTGGCAGAGTGCGTGTAGGGAGCAGCCGAGGCGACCCTGTTTTCTGCCTGCCCGCCCTTCTGCCCGCGCAGAGTACTGCTGCAACGGCACCGTGATCGAGGACGAGGAGCTGGGCAAGGTGCTGCAGCTGCAGGGCGACCAGCGCAAGAACGTTTCGGCCTTCCTGCTGGGCAACGAGCTGTGCAAGAAGGACCAGATCAAGGTGCACGGCTCCTAGGCTCCCGCAGTGGAGCGAAGCGAGCAGGCGCGGCTGCCGTGCTCCCCGAGGCGCACCCTGCACGAGCGGGTGCTGCGGTGTGGCAGCGACGGCTGCAACAGTGGCGCGCAGGCGGCGGTGAACCCTGCGGCGCGCGCGGGCACTGGCCCCCCGCGCCGGCGTCTGCATCCCAAGCTGCGACCACCAGCCTAGCTGGCTCTGCTTTTTGAACCTGTTAGCCACCCCATGCCCCTAGCTACTTTACTGCTTGCTGGCCAGCCTCACGCAACACCAAACACGCAATGCTTGCAATCTCGTTGACTGCCCACTGCCTGCGGCAATGCCACAGAAGTAGCTGCGCCCTGCGGCGGAGCGCCCTTGTAACATACGGACGATTCGCTCCTTCAGCCGTATTGGTTGTTGTTTTCCCTAGCATTCGCGCAAGATGAGGCGACAGCAGGCAGTGGCAGGCACGGGTGCACTGCGTTTGAGCAACAGACAAAATGTAGCATGGGGGGTAACATGGGGCAGTGAGTGAGACCTGACTGGAAAAATGGGCAAGGAAGGTTCGCACACTCTGGTCGCAGACACACAGGTAGAATGAGACAACGCAGGGACTGCAACAGTCACGCACAGCACACACGGCATGCTTAACATGTCAAGAGGCAGGCGAGGGGGCGGCCCCTTCAGTACAAACGGAGCAGGAAGAAAGGGGGAGGGGCTGCAGGACCCGGCCCCGCGGCGGTGCCGGGCGCTTGCCGCCGCGCCCTGGGCCGGTCTCAGCCCCAGCGCACGATGGCGGAGGCCCAAGTGAGGCCCGCCCCAAAGCCAGCCATGGCCAGCACCTCCCCGGGCTTGATGTCCCCTCGCCGAACCGCCTCGTCCAAGGCCAGAGGGATGGAGGCGGCCGAGGTGTTGCCGTACTGGGCCAGGTTGGACACCACACGCTCTGCAGCCGTTGGGGGGCGAGCAGCATCGTGAGGGACGCGGCGGCGTGAGCGCCAGGCAGCCAGGCTAGCGGCAAGAGAGGCACGAGGCAGGGCAGGGCGACAGGCAGGAATGCGGGGCCAGCATGCGTGGATGCCGGACCCATCCCCAAGAGCCCTTCTCACCCGCGGGCACCCCCAGGCGGTCTGCCGCCGCACTCATGATGCGCATGTTTGCCTGGTGCATGACCAGCCAGTCTATCTGCTGCTTCTCCATGCCGGCATCCGCCAGCGCCGCCTCAATCACCTGCAGCAAACATAGGCGCGCCCGGCGGCGGGGCGTGATGGGCGGCTGCCGGGTGCTGCTCCTTAAGCGCCTGGCATCGGGGCAGCGCGGCTTCCGGTACCGGCCCTGCCACCCGCCTGCCCCGCCGTCTTGCCTGCCAACAGCCCGGCACGCATCCCCACGAAACATGCACCACGCTGAGCCCCTTCTCACGCTCACCGTGGGCACAGCGCGCACAGCAAACTTGAACACCTCCTGCCCATTCATGTGCAGGTTGCTGTAGGAACCCTGCAGATGCGCAGCAGCCAGGCGGGAAGAGCGATGGAAAGCCAGTCGAGAAGCGGCTGGCATTGAGGAGGTTGCCAGGGACGGCAACAGCGCCTCTGCAGGCTCGCCGCGGCTGCCGCCGCCGCTGCTGCCGCAGCTGTCTCCCCCAGGCGCACCTCGTCGCTGGCGTGGCCGTTGCTCAGCGGCTTCATGCCCTCCCCGGCGAACGCGCAGTTGAGGTGCCGCATGCCGGTGCCATCTGCAGGGTGCGAGGCAGAGGCGGCCCGCGGCACTGGATTATGCGTTGTTTTGGGGGCAGGGGATTCTGTCCAGCCAGCCCCAAACCGGCAGCCCCCTGCAGCCACCACAAAACCAACCTGAGTGCATGTCGATGCCCAGCAGGGCGCAGCTGCCGTCGTCCTTTGCGGTCATCACCACTGCGCCGCACGCGTCTCCAAACAGGATGCACGTCGAGCGGTCCCTCCAGTCGATGTAGCGGCTCAGCGCGTCGGCGCCTGCACCGGCGCAGCAGGCAGCAGGCATGCCAGGCTTCGTGAGGCTGATGCTTGGGGGGAGCGCGAGCGCTGCCACGGCGGGCACCGCCCTGCCAGGCAACCTGCGTGCAGAGGCAGCAGCAGGTGCATGCGCGCGAAAAGCATCGGCAGCAGCGCAAGCACCTATGACTAGCACAGTCTTGTAGGTGCCTGCACGGATGTATTGCGCCCCCGTCACCAGCCCCATCACAAAGCCGCTGCATGCTGCGGTGAGGTCAAAGGCGGCTGCGCGGCTGGCCCGAATCTCTGCCTGCGAGCAACAAAGGACGCGGGGCAGGTCGCAGCGGTGGCACACTCCGCATTGCTGCCTACAGGGATGACAGCCATTCTGGCGCGCATTCTGGCCCAGCCAAGCACGGAAGGGGCGCCCCTGCAGCACCAGCCCTGCTGCCAGAGGCGCCAGCATGCACCGCCTGGCCCCTCCCGCATGCCTGCACGGTGGTGGCGCTTCCAAACAGGTCGTCGGGGCTGGAGGTGGCCATGACAATGAGGTCCACATCCTCTGCAGCCACGCCCGCCATGTCCAGCGCGCGCAGGCAGGCCGCCGAGGCGTGGCTGCCCAGCGACTCGCCCTCCGACAGGATGTGCCGCTTCTTGATGCCCGTGCGGCTGGTGATCCAGTCGTCGCTGGTGTCCACCAGCTGCGCAAGGTCGCTGTTGGTCAGGAACTTCTCGGGCACCGAGGAGCCCACGCCCGCTAGCCGCACGCCCGCCGCCGCCGCAACGGGCACCACCGCGGCGCCAGGCCGCCCCCCGCCGCGCCGCCGCGCCGGCAGTCGGCTCAGAGCTGCGGGCAGCGCTGTGGGCAGACGCGCATTGGCCAGTGGGCGGCTACAGGCGCGCTGCAGCTGGTGGCTGCAGGCTGTGCTCGACGCCATGCTGCTATTCTGTGACGCCTGTGAATGCCGATCAACCCAGCTCAGTCCTGGCGCTCAATTGTGTGCGACCTGGCCGCCGATGGCCGAAAAAGCAGGGAGGCCGCAGAGGCGATGCACGATGGGCTGCCTGCTGTGGCCGCCAGAATGACTTCACACCACGGTCGCGCGATCAGGGGTCGGGGGAGTCCCAAGGTGTTGCTCGTTTAGCTGATCCTCGACAGGCTGGCAGTCCCGTGTCGCACTGGCCAGAAGCAAAGCCATTCGATTATCGAAACGATGTTTTGCGGGCCCTCACACACCACCAAGAGCTTGTGCTGTGCCTTGCACCGCCCAGCGGCACATGTGCTGCCATGGCTGACAGCCCAGGTGCACGAGCGGAGCTCCAATCATTTACAGCAGCATTGAAATACACGGGAAGGAAAAAGGGGGTACACATGGCACCTGTGTGCCTGGCAGGGAATGCGTTGGTACAGGGAGGAGTGGGTGACGGCACTGTGCGCCTGGGGAACACCTCGAGCAGGCTGAAAGTGTGGCACAAAATGGGAGACCTGATTGAGAAGCGGGGAAAAGGGAGCAAAGAAGACCAGACATAACCCAATCTCCGGCGTCAGCAGGGGCGCTCGGCAGCCAGCGCACCTGCTGACGCTGGGGCAAGCAAGGCACAAGGGGTCAGGGGCAAAGGCCGCACCGTGATCACGGGGCCAGCAAGCCAGGCACATGCAGCCAGGCAGCCCAGGCAAGGAACGTCACATGTCCACGCTTTTCTGTGCTATCCTGCGTATGCGCCGGTTGTAGTCCTTGCGATTGGTTGTGTACAGCTGCAGCCAGGAGGTGAGCGAGTCTCAGCCGTTTGCCAACACAGAGCATTGGGTAGACCCCCACCCACGCAATGCAGCTCCCTCCAAACTACCTGTGCTGCCTCCGGGTTGGCTGGGCTGGCGCAGTTGGGGTCTGTGAGCAGCGACTGGATGGAGGTGAGGATGGAGCAGATGTTGTGGCAGGGGCTCCAGTGGTCCTGGATGATGTCCAAGCACAGAGTGCCATCTGAATATACCTGCAGCAGGGAGCAACCAATCGAGGGGTGAGGGTACCATTGTGTTGAGGCGGTGGCGGTGTCGACCAACGGGGAAAAAAAGAGGGCTGGAGGGCGGGCCCGGCAAAGCCCCTGCCAACTGCAACATCGTCCTGCTGGCAAGCTGCGATGCGACGAGCGGCCATGTAGGTAACAGGACATGGGGCGGAGGAGCCTCTCAAGCCCCCCGCGGCCTCCTGGGCCTCCCCCCAGCCCGGCTCACGTTGGGATGGAAGACCTCGCTTGTGAACCGCACCCGCGGCGGCTTGTCGGGATACTGCTCGCTAAACGTGATGCGCAGCTGGAAGATGCCGCCCTGCGGTGGTGCGGGCCCAGCGGCGGGGAGAGGGAATTGAGGACATGCGCCACAGCCGTGGGAGCGCGGGGAGGCGGCAAAGCATGGCCAGCATTCAAGGGGGGCTGTGTCATACCTCCCAGGGCGTCTCCACTGGTCCTAGTATTGTTGCTGCAGTACAGGGCAGTAGAGGCAGGGACGAAGAAGGAGAAATGAGCGTCCGCTACCGGCACGTGGTCTGCAAAACGGACACTTTGGCACAGGCGGGCAGCCGGAGCCGGCAGGCAACATACCGCCCCAGACAAACAGGTTGTCGTCGCTGAGCGGCGAGGCGCTACAGCCTTCAGGAGGCTCCACCTGCAGTTGACGCACGGTTATTGGGAATGGGCGTGGCGATGAGCGCCCACAAAAGGCCGCAAGGGTTGGGCGCCGAGCATGGCGGGTGGCGGCGAGGCGGTGGCGCCTGGCGCAGGCACTGAAGCGCCGGCGGATCCCGGCAGCCTTCCCCAACAGCCCCCTAGGCCCGCAGCAGGCGTGGGTGGGCGTTTTGGGGCGTTTTTGAGGCCGTCTGATCAGCCATTCTGCTGCGCTCGCCTTGATAGCCTTCAAATCCGACATCAGCCTGAGCTGAGCGGATGTTGCCATCTGCCTGGACGGCCCTGCCGTGTCGCCGTCAGGTCTGGTGGCCTTCACAGACCTGCAGCCACGAATTGTGTGTCGCGAGGCTGCTCTGGCTGGTGACACGATTTGGGAGACAGGAAAGATCGACTGGGGTGGAACGAGGGGCGCGGAGCAGCCGGCTGAAGAACAGTCCACATGGGCCAAGTACATTTGTACCTTGCGAGAGTTGTCTGCGGAGCTCCTGGGGCCTCGCACGGTGTGGTGTGGCATCTGTTTCCGCAATAACGCTGCAGGAAAGCGGAAAAGGGCGCCATGCCAGGTGCGCCGTCCATGCATGGCTGCCTGGGCACGCTGCACCGGCTGAAACGTTGCTGAACAGCGGTATCGCGAGTGGTTGCAGCCACAAAATATGCTCGCTGGGAGTGCAGCACGCCTCGCCCAGTGCCGCCGCCGCCGCCAGCGGGGAGGCGGGGTCCCTCTGCCGCCGTCTCCGGCGTGCGGGGCTGCATGAAGCACTCCTTGTTCAACTGGATCACCATTGTGTTGTTGATCCCCCTCGTGGCATGGCTGTGCAGGCAGCGTGAACGGAGGCTTCAACTCCAAGGTGAGATTGTTTCCCGCTCCCGGCGGTCGTGCACACGCACGCTGCTGTCACACATTTATTCCCCGACCGACACATCACCGACAAAAAATAATTCACCCTTCGCTGACCCTGCTGCAGAAAAAGTCGTGGCAGAAAAGAAAAGCTCAGAAGAGTCGTGAGGTGAAGAAGCGCAAGGGCGTGGCCGTGGTGAGTGGCAGCGGCCCGCAAGCACCCCAACAGGCTCGTTCAGGCTGCCTCGAGTATGCGCTGCGCTGAGACGTGTCCTGTGTCTGCTGCAGAAGCACAAGCAGGCGGTGAAGGCGGTGTCTGGTGTGCGCACAAAGGTGAGAATGGAGGGAGCAGGGATGCCCGCTCCAATGCGGCCACTGGGTGCATCTGCACCTGACCGGTTGAGTTTGTCATCTGTGCAGAAGCATCAGCGCAAGGTGAACCACGCCCAGAAGCTAGACGAGAAGCAGGAGGCGGCGCTGGAGTCTGCGATGCAGGTGGGGCGCCAGGGCGGCCTCTCTCACAGGGAGCGGGCAGGGCCGAGTGTGTGGGCAAGCTGCGTGGCACAGGCACCTGGCCTGCCCATCCTGCCTGTGCGCACGGCGGCCCCTCAGCGACGGCGCCGTGCCCTCCTGGGTGACTGCAGGTTGACACGGCATCTCCCGCCAAGCCAGCCAAGAAGAGGGGCCCCAAGCAGCTGAGCAAGAAGCAGGGCAAGGGCGCCAAGAAGGCGGCGCCGGCATCGGCAGCAGCGGCCGGGGACGCTGCGCCGATGCAGGAGTAAGGGCGGTGCCGTCCCGGCCGCGGCAGTGGCAGCACCGCCGACGGCGGTGCCAGCAGCGGTGCCAGAACGGCCAGCAGCTCACTAAAAGGCTCGACTAGACAGCAGTGCAGTAGCAGGACAGCGACGCAACTGTGATTAGGCAGCAGCATCGACAGCATTAGCAGACGAGCACGGCAGCGGAACAGCTACCGTGCCAGTAAGCGCAGCGTGCAGCCTCTGTGCGCAGCACGCAGCCAGGCGGTAGGCAGCCTCAGCGCGCATGGCGTGCGCTGGCGTCGCCGAGGCGGTGATGGCTCAGTTTGCGGCGCTGCCCAAGACTGGCAAGCCGCAGCCACATGAGCACACCGTGCTGGCAGGCATGGCGCTGTCGCTGCCTGCCGCGGGCGCCAGCATTGGATGGCCCGATGGCGGCGGCAGCTCAGTGGCACCGCGTGCTTGGCCCCAGCAAGAGCTGGCGGTGGTGGCGATTGGCACCGGAACCAAGTGCTTGGGCGCATTCAAGCGCCTGCCGGGCGGCGGCGCAGTCAACGACTGCCACGCAGAGGTGCTGTGCCGCCGCGCCCTGCTGCGGTGGCTGTACGGCGAGGCGCGGCAGGTGGTGGAGCGGTACCGACAGGCGGTACAGCAGGCAGCGGGCCAGCTGGACGCGCCTGCCGCTGCGGCGGCAGCGGCGACTCGCGTGCTGCGCCTGGTGCCGCCAGCTGGCGGCGACGGCACTGCTGGAGACCTGTTTGGGGGCTGGCGCTGTGAGCTGCAGCCGGGCGTGGGGCTGCACCTCTACATCAGCCAGCCGCCCTGCGGGGACGCCAGCATCCTGGGCCCGGCAGCCTCCTGCCACCACCCGCAGCACCAGCACCAGCAGCACCAACCGCCACAGGAGACGCGAGGGAGCCAGGCCGCCCGCCAGCACAGCAGCCCAGAAGCTGCTGCTGCTGCAGCCTGTGCAGACAGCAGAGGCGGCGGCGGCAGCGCGCAAGCCCAGGCTGGCGGCTTCGGGCGGACCGGCGCCAAGGCCCTGAAGCGGCAGCGGATTGGCGGCAGCGGGGACCAGCTCTCGGCAGCGCCGTCAGGCCCAGTGGAGGAAGCCCAGCAGGCACACTGTGAGCAGCAGCCAGGGATGCAGGAGCAGCAGCAGGAGGAGCAGTGGCGGCTGCCGCAGCAGCACGAGGTGGAGCCGTATGCACAGGCGCAGGCGGTGGGCGTGGTGCGGCGCAAGCCCGGGCGGGGCGACGCCACGCTGAGCATGTCGTGCAGCGACAAGCTGGCCAGATGGTGCCTACTGGGCCTGCAGGCAAGCGCGCTGCCAGCCCCCGCTCTGCTCTGTCCTGCCTTTCGCCATCTTTGCGCTGCTTCTCTGTGCGGCGGACTTCTGCAGGTTTCGTTTACTCGCTGCCTGGTTGAAACCAGCTCGCATTTTTTGCCCTGCTGTCCCCCTGCTGCAGGGCGCCTTGCTGGGGGGCCTGCTGGCGTCGCCGCTCCACCTCTCCTCTGTCACGGTCCCACTGCAGCACGGCGAGGCAGCCGGCAGCGCAGCGCCGTCGCCAACATTGGCTGCGGTGGTCGGAGCGGCAGCGGCAGCAGACAAGCAGCCGCAGGTGCCCAGCAGTGCCAGCGTGGCAGAAGTAGCTGAGCTGGCCCTGCGGCGAGCCCTGCTGGACCGTACCGCGGAGCTGGCGGCCCAGCGGCTGCCGCCTGGCTTCCGCCGGGCGCCGCCTGCTCTGCACATCCATGTGCCAGGCTCCATGCCGGCCCCAGGCTCTGGCAGCAGCGGCGGTGGTGGCGGCAGTGAGGGCAGCCGGGCGCACTCGCTGGGACTCGCGCCATCCGCTACCCGGAGAGTGGCTGGTGGTTCATCGGTTGTGTGGTTCGCGCCGCCTTCACCGGCCTTCAAGTGGAAGCGGCAGGCAGGAAGCGCTGCAGACGTGCTGAGCGGCGGCAGCAGCGAAGCAGTGATCGGCGGCACCGGCCTGAAGGCCGGCAGCGCTCGTGTGCAGGCGGGCCAGGCGGCGCCGCCCTCGGCGCACCCCTCTGTGTGCAAGGCGGCGCTGTTTGCGCAGTGGCAGGAGCTGGCGGCCGCGCTCAGGTCTCTGTCGCCGCCGCCAGCAGTAGCACTGGCCCCAGATGCAGCAGCGGACATACCAGCACGCCCTGAGCAGCCTCAGCGGCCACCACCAGAGCAGTTGCGCCTCCAGGACATGCGGTATGGGCAGGCCAAGCGCGCCGCCTGCCCGCAGTACGCTGCTGCCTGGCAGGGCCTGCTGCAGCCGCCCTCGCCGCTGCATGGCTGGATCCCCAAGCCGGCAGCTTTGGAGGAGTTTGCGCTGGCACCTGCCTGACTGCCTGCCGCTGGCTGTACTGTTTCTGGCCCTTTTGAGTTCCTCAGTTTCCTCCCATGCTCAATGTGTGATGCTCTTTGGTACCCAGTTCAATGTGGTGGCTGCACTGCTCTCAGTCAAAAACAGAAGGTTCTCAAAATTCACGGGCGCATGTCGCAGGCCTGTCGCCCATCAGCAGCGCCTGCTCGGTGCCGCCGTCAGGACCGCTCGTAGCTGTGCACCACTCGGATGATCTTGCCGTGCTGCCGCCAGTACCGTATGCCGCTCCAGTCAATGTGCTTGGTCAAGAATGTGTATGCGATGCACACGGGGATCACTGCACGCGGCGCATCATAGGACGTCAGAGCCTCGGCTGACAAACAGCCGCTGCAGCAGGGCACGATTCCGGCGCATCACCCTCTGGCCAACAACCCCTCCAGGCGCACCTGCATTGTTCAAATAAAATCCGAGCCACAGCTTGGGCCAGCTGAAGGTGTCCAGCTGGTGGCGCTTGAGTTTGGGGTTCAGCGCGCAAAACAGGTCCAGCACGGTGCCTGCGCCAGCAGGGCAGGCGTCGGTCGGATGCTTGGCATACGCGCAGAGCATGGCGCTGGATGGACGGAAGCTGGCCTGCCCCCAAACACCTCCGCCGAGCGGTTGCATCTGACCCCAGAGGCTTAGCTCAGGCCCCGGGGTGGGCTCACTTGTCATCCACCGCAGCGCCAGCATGAGGTAGACGATGCTCAGGAAGAAGGAGGCCAGGCTGGCCAGAGACCAGGGACACCTGCAGCGCTCATGCACACATGCCAGGCAGGGAGACCTGTTGCGCAGCTCGCTGCCAGCAAGCCTTCGGGGCGCTGCTGCTGTCGCAACACGAGGGCAGGCAGGCCGCCAGGAAGGCAGGCAGGCGCCCCCAACAGCGCACCGGTCGATGCCAAAGAGGCGCAGCCAGAGGTAGCTGCTGCCGTCAGGGCCGCCGTACACCTGCTGCGTGGGAAGCAGCAGGATGGCCAGTACCCACAGCAGCAGGCGAAGCATAACTGCAGATCGCGGGGAGGGAGGCGGGCAGGTTGGGGCACCACACCGACAAGCACGATTGGATACCACGATTGGATACCACGCCCTCGGCAGCCAAACGTGCTTGCAGCCTGTAGTGCTGTACAGGAGCACAGCGCCTGGCTCCTGCCACAACCGGCATCCCGGCCACGCCGTTCTGGCCGCGCCGCCCGGCCGCGCACCCGTGGTGGCTGGCAGCACCACGCCCCAGGAGGCAAAGGCGTGCAGGGCGGCCAGGCTATGGTTGGTGCGCCTGTTGTGTTCGTTGCTATAGGTGTCCATGACATACAGCTGGCGCCGCAGGTAGTTCCACCACCGCCGCAGCGGGTAGCCGCCCTCGATCCTGCACCAGGCGCAGGCGCAGGCGCGGGCACGCACGTGTGTTGCGGCATGGGCGTTGCCGACGGGCACCGGCGTCGGCGTGTTGCCGCTGGAGGGAAGGATTGTGGGGAGCCCGGCTCCGGGCCCAGCAGGCTGGCATGGGCACAGAGCCGAGAGGGCGCCCCACAGCCTCCCACGCCGCCTTCCACCCGCAGACCGCCTCAGGCCCGCCCCCAAACGAGCCAGGCCTGGTGCCAGAAGCGAGGCACAGCGGCAGAAGCACGACGCAGCGGCAGAGGCACGGCCCGGCAGCATGCAGAAGCACGACGCAGCGGCAGAAGCACGGCCCGGCGGCGCGCCGAGGCGAGGCCCACCACTGCGGGAAGATGGAGTAGCCGGGGCAGTAGATGGTCAGCTGCTGCTCGGTGCACTGGCTGGCCACTGTGAGATCATCCGAGTAGCCGCCATCCGCCCAGGCCTGCAGCAGAGCGGCAGCACGTGCACATGACACCAGCTGTCCAGCAACGCCCGTGACCCAACTGCACCTGGCCTCGCTGCCTGACACATGGCACGCGCCGCAACGTAGGTGCCCCAGCTCGCCAGCCTCCCGCCCGCCAGCCTTCCGCCAGCCACCCCCGCTCCAATCCCCCGCTCACCCGCAGTATGCCTCGCGAGTCGTGCCGCATCTCAGAGGTGCGGAACAGCATGCAGCCGCCCCACACAAACTGGGTGCGCTCCTTGACCGAGAAGGGGACGATGAGGGGGAGGTGGTAGGACAGCGCGGCGTACGCCAGCAGGCAGGCGTCCTCCGCCGGCACGTCAAACGGGTAGCCTGCGGGCCAGGGACGAAAAGAGGGAGGCGGGTGGGCACCACGCGCGAGCCAGCACGCGCCTGCCCATGGTTGACCAACTATCAGCCCCCGCCCCTTGCTGCGCACTCCTGCCCGCAGGCGCTGGTTTGGTGGCAAGCCGGCCAGCCCCGCCGGGGCAGCCACCCAGCCCTGCTACTGCACGCCCCTCCCATCACTACCATCCCCAAGCACACAGGCACTCACACCGACCAGGCCCACGAATCCATGCACCCAGCCAGCTCACCCACACATGAGACACACACACACACACACACACACACACACACAGCCCAGCCCACAAACACGTGACACCCAGGCAGCCACACCGTCGACCGCCAAACCAGTACCGCCCCTGCCCCCAGCCCAGCCCAGCCCAGCCCTGCCCAGCCCAGCGCACCCGTGGCCATGAACAACCCCGCATCCGCCTCCATGTCCCGCACCAGCGAGGCCAGCAGGCCCGGGTGCAGCAGTACATCGTCGTCCAGGCACAGAGCGTACTGCGAGTCGGGCGACGCCTGGCGGATGCCGGCCAGCAGGCTGCAGGCGGCGCGGGGAGCAGGGCAGGCATGGCAGGCACCTTGGACGTTACCCCACATGCCAACCCACATGCCAGAGGCGCCGGCAGGGCACGAGATGGGCAGCAGCGGCACGCCATGCCACGCCGCTCCGCCTGCCCGCCCCGTGCATGTGCCTGCCCCATGCCCTCCCAGGCACACCCCACCTCGGGCCCTTGCCGCCCCGGTCTAGGAGCCCCTGCCCGCTCCCCCACCCCCACAGCTCGGCAGCTCACTTGTGTACCTTCTGGCTCGTGTGCTCCGCAAAGCCAGCCGACTGGATGCGCACGGGGCGGCGGCCCTGCAGTTCCCGGATGAGCGTGGTGATCACCGCATACGCCGGGTCCGTCTTGTCCTCCAGCACAAACACATACTCCAGGCTGCCGCCTGCAAAGCAAGTGGGTGCCGTGCCGTGAGCGAGGGGTGTGGGAGGGTCGGCGAGGGAGGGGCGCGGGGCACCCAGGGCAGGCAGCACGCAGCGCAGCGCGTCCTGGAGCGCACGCGTGCCCTGCCGTGGCTGCTGCAGCCCAGGCAGGGCACGCCGATGCAGCATCCAGTGCGCACGGGAAGGCAGGCAGCGGGCAGGCAGCGCGGGCGGTTGTTTGCACACCATAGTCAAGGCTTAGCACAGACCGCCAGTTGGCCATGCTGTGGCTGCGACATCCACGCACGGGCAGCACTACTGTGACGGGGGGCAGCTTGGGCTGGCCAGCCTGCACGCTCAAGAGAAGGCCGCGGCGTCAGTTGTGGCAGCGGCGCCGCCGCGCGGGCGGCAACGCTGGTCATCGCTCTGGCGCCAAGCCACGCACCTCCTGTTCGCCTGCGATCGCCGCCAAGCTGCCGCGGCTGCTGGATTTCGGCCCCGGGCGGCGCCCAAGGGCTCGGCGCCTCTGGCGCTGCAGTTCCCGAAGCCTGGCCTTCCCGGCGAACACCCATAGCGTGGCGAGCAGCACAACGAGCCAAATGCCATGAAACTGCAGCGCTGTGATCAAAGGGCTGCACAGCGCCGCATTCCCACCCTCCACCAGCCTGCTCAACCAGGCAAGGAGGTTGCGCAGAAGAACCGGTGGGGGGAGCATTTGTCGCTGCTGAAATTAAATTGAAAATGGGAGATCCTCATACTGGAGCCGCCACTGCGCCACGCTGTGCGCCGCCACCTTCACACCGCTCACATGCGCCTGTTGCTTGATTGCAAAGCATCCCCAAAGTGGCTTGTGACCGACAGTCAGAGGCCGGAAGCTAATGTACAATCACTGCGGTGGCAGCGCCAGCCGCAGGAGCGGCACCGGCCGCTTGCCGCCGCCGCCGCCAGCAGGTGCAGCAGGTGCCGCCGCGGGGCCTGCTCCCCCACCAGGCCCCAGGTTGCTGGCCTGCCGCTGCCGCCCGCGCTGCTGCTGCTGCTGCCGCTCCCGCCAGTGGTGCTGCTCGTCGGCGCCGCGGGTGTCGCGCGGCGTGGCGGCGCCGTCGCTCCACATCTCATCTTGCGGCGGGCAGGGCAGCAGCACCTGGTCAGAGGCGGTGCGTGCCAGGGCCATGGGGCTGGTGGCCTCCTGCAGCGTCCGCTCCTTCTTGCCCAACTGCAGAAGCAGGGCAGACAGGTTCCCAGGCAGGAGGCCATTGTTGGCACACCACACAGACACCGAATGCTCATTTGCACACCCTGCAAATGGTGTGCCAAGACTTGGCCAGCCCACCTGCGCTGTGGCAGAGTCGATGCTGATGCCGGGCAGATCCTCCAGCGTGAGGTCGGAGGGGGGCTCGCGCCGCCGCTTGCCGGGAGACGGCGGCCGCTCCTCGCCCCGAGCCTGCATCACCCACCCCGGCAGGTCGGAGTCAGCAGCCAGCCCTCATGCAGGAAGCTGCACAGCATCTGCATCGGGCAGCGCAGCGCTGCACGAGCCCTGCCCTGCCGATATCTACCCTCCCCAGCTGCACCCGGAGCCTGCTTGCCTGCTTGCGCAGCCGGTCGTTGGGGCTGGTGGCCGCGTCGCCGCCCTCCTCCTCGCGCGGCGTCTTGCGCCCGCCGCCGCTGCCGCTGCGCGCGCTGCCGCCCGACTCGCCGCTGGCGTGGGAGGTGAGGGAGCGGTGGTACAGCTGCGGGTGGACAAAGGGGGGGAAGGGCACGGCGTGGCCAGCGTTGGAATGGACGACTCGGAGTGCTGAGGGCCTCGAGGCAGGGCTGGCTCGCATCACTCAGCTGCCGTAGTGCTTTGTGTTTCTGGCTATTCTGCACTCAGCACCCGCCTCCAAACCAAGCCAAGCCTTACCACCCCACCCACCTCAAAGTCCTTGTCATAGCTGCTGATCTCCAGGACTGCCACAGGCTCCCCCGCCGCCACTGCCAGCACCTCTGCCGCCGCCGCTGCCGCCGCCGGCCTGCCTCCGCCGGGCGCCGCCGGGCTGCCGCTGCGGCTGGCGCTGCCCTCCCCTGTCCCGGCCGCCGCCAGCGAGGTCCAGAAGGCCGGCGGCTCCTGGCCCTGCCGCACAACTGCCGCGGGCCCCGGCGCACCCTCATACTTCTGCAGCTGACCCGCAAAGCGCTGCGCTGCTGCCAGGAACGCCTCGGGGCAGGCCTCGCCTGCCCAGATGGTCAGCGCAGCCGGGGCATGCAGCACAAAGGCGCCGCGAGGGTCCAGGCTGGCGCCGCCAGCCGGGGCGCCCACCGGCTTCGGCACGAGGTGCTGCGCCGCCGCTGCCGACTGCGGCGCGATGCGGTACAGGCGGCAGCTGTCCAGCGGCGCGTGCCGCCGCTTGTGCCATTGCAGCAGCTGCATGGGCAGCACAGGGGGCGCGCGCCGGCGGGCAAGGCATTGAGCCGGCCGCAACGTACACCCGCCGCGCCACAACCACCGCTCTGCCCGCGATGCACACCTGTTGGCTACCCTGCTCCCCACCCCCAAGCCTCCCACCTGACAGATGAAGCCGATGTTGGGGTTGGTGACGCCGCGCGCCGCCTTGACAGCCAAAAAGACGTCATCATACACGGCCGCCTGGCGCCACATCAGGTAGGCGATGGCCAGGCTGGCGGAGCGAGACACGCCCTGGCTGCAGTGGATAAGCACGCGCCCGCCCCGCGTGGCCTCCTGCGACAGAGGCGCCGGCGCAAAGGGGAGGCCGCAGGACCATGGGCAAGGTCCAGCAGTGCTGAAGGTCCAGCACAGGCCCAGGCGAGCATGCGTCGGGCCGAGGTGTGATCTGCCAGCCCCGTTTCGCCAGCGGCAGCAGCCCGGCTGCACCACAGGCAGGTGGGTGTGCACCTCGATGAAGTCAAACACATCATACAGCACACACAGGATGTCCTCCCCAGGCGTGTCTGCAACGGCAGGAGGGCAGGAGAGGAACATGGCACGTCAGGGGGGCAGGGCAAAGGCCGTGCCAATACCGCCGACAGCCGGCCGCTACCGCTGCGCCCGCCCTCCACCTCTCCGGCGCTGCAGTACACTGCAGCATAGCGCGTCTGCAGCGCGCCACCCTGCAGATACAGCACTTGGTAGCGCACCCTGCAGGTAGAGCACTTGGTAGCGCAGCTCGTCCTCAAAGTAGGGCGGGTAGAGGAAGCCGACGCAGTTGACCACGTGAGTGATCCCCGCCTCCCTCAGCGTCTCGCGGCTGCGCGCCACGTGCTCCGCGCCCACGTACAGCCCCTCCGCCACGCGGCTGCACTGGCGCTCGAAGAAGGCCAGCTTCTCCTTGCGGGCGCGCAGCTCGGTGGGCGGGCCGTCGTCGCGCGGCAGCGTGCGCAGGTCCAGCACCCGCAGGTTGCCCATGCGGCTGGCGGCCTTGGTGGGGCTCAGCTGCGGGTCGCTGCGGACCTGCTGGAGGGGCTGGAGAGGCGCGGCGTTGCCCGCATCCTGCGCTGGCTGCCAGTACCTTTCTCTGAACTGCGGCGCCACGAGGCCGCCGCTAGACGGTGCAGCCATCATGCACGCCCGGAGGCGGGCTGAGGCAGGCACGGCGACAGCGCGGGTCGCTGTGAAACCAAACGCCCGCCGCTAGTTTGAACGGGGTCCGCAGCTGGGCTTCCGGGCCAGGGCACGGATGGGGACACGACGCCGACAGGGAGCACCAGGCAGCGTGCAGGCTCTCGAACTCGACTGTCCTGCCCACGTACTGCAGGCGGGATGAACTCTGCTGATTTTAGAGGCTCTGGAATTGGAAATGCAGGCGCAAGGTTGCTTGATTTTGGCTTGGCAGTAGCCTTTTGTAACTACAATCGGCATTGCGACACCCTGCCCAGCGGAGGCATCGGAAGGAGGGCGGGCACAAGCTGCAGAGTTGCGCCTGACTGCGAAAAGCAACAGGACTCGTGAAACCAACAAAGCTAATGCAGACGAGTCCATTCAACATCACACCACCATCCATTCAACATCAATATCACAACGACAGGTGTGGTCCGACGGATGGGAACAGAAAGTGACGAGGGCGGGTACCAGGACCGTCCCATGATTGACAGGCGGATGCCGTCGCATGAAAAAACGGGGAGAGACATCGGAGCGCTAGAGCGCAAGAAAGCAGAGTCACTCAATCTGAAGGGGGGGGAAATATACAACTATTGATGGATTGGTGAAAGTGGGTAACCCAGCCGTGAGGCAGGCAGGTAGGTGAGGGATGAGCGGAGGCGGGGACAGGCAGACACGGCGGCGGCAAGAGGAACGAGTGCAGCTAAAAGAAGAAGAAACATGAAGGCACCGTCAGCTCCGCAGCGACTTGGTGGGTATGTGGAGAAGAGCTGCATTTGAGGAGAGGATGTCAGTCTGCAGGGGAAGGAAGCGGCGGCATGCGGCAGTCGCCGCTCGCCAGCAGGACAGTCGGTGTACGGCTGAAGAATTGCCTATACGTGATCGCCCCTTTCGCAAGCGCTGCTCTCCCTGTTGTGGCATCTCGGCTGATCAGTAGCGCGGTCCTGGTTGCGTGTGCGGGGTGCCCAAATTAGGTGAGCTGTTCATCTCGCTGGTTCATCCGCATCTCAAATTGAGCACATAAAGCCGGTTCGCCATCATTTGCACCCATTCACACTCGTAGTCCCAGAGCGACGTATTCCCAGAGCGCGGGCAGGTCAGTCTTTGCGTGCGCTTTTCTCTCCCGGCTGTAGCCTGCATCCCTGCTGATGATCGTTGCAATCACGGCGCGCCCTGCCGGCGCGGGCCTGCTATGCACGGCGCCGCCGCACCCGCTGCCGCCATTCACGCGTTGCACCCCCGCCCGTTCCGCCTGCGCCGCAGGCTGTTCCCTGCCCACCCAACACTGGCAGCCGCTCGCGTGCAGCGCCTGCAGCTCCCTGCAGCGGCCTGGCTGAGCGCCCTCCTCGCGGCACTCGTGGCACTCCAGCCCGCAGCAGCGGCGCCAGTCGGGCGCAAGGCTGGCAGAATGGCAGCTGTGGCGGTCCGCCCCATCAAGTCTGTTGTGCGAGGCTCCAAGATGATGGAGGGCGCAGGTGGGGGGCTGGCTGGCGCTGCTCTGTTGCATTCATCCACCGCCGCATGCTTGCTCGGCTCACCCCCGGCCGCCTGCTGCCCCTGCTGCCCTGCAGGCGTGCGCATCTGCAGAACCCTGGGCACCCCTGCCCTGCGCAACCTGGATCCCTTCCTGATGCTGGATGAGCTCAAGGTGTGGCCGCCTGGGCGCCGCTCGTGCTCCACAGCAGCAGCAGCGGCAGCAGCAGCTGCGTGCCCGCTGTGCCCTGGCAGCGCAGCGGCGGCCACGTCTGTCGCCGCTCGCAAGCACGCTTTGACCATGCTCCCACCCGCCCCCTGCTTGCTCAGATGCCGGCCCACGAGGCCTCCGCGGGGTTCCCCAACCACCCGCACCGCGGCTTTGAGACCTGCAGCATCATGCTGAGGTGCGGGCGGGTGGGAGGCATGAAGGGACGAGGCGAGCGGCGGGCGGAGGTGGTGGCGCCAGCAGCAGCTCTTGGGGTTCGGGTGCCTGGCACCTGGCATCATCACCCCACCCCACCCCCCTGCCTCTCCTGCAGCGGCAAGATGGAGCACAAAGACAGCATGGGAAACGAGGGAGTGATCGGCCCAGGTGCGGCGACCCCTCTTGCCGCCGCCGTTGCGCCTCACGCCTGCGCCGCGTCACACACCCTTCCTCTGGCGTCGGCGCTGGGGCCGGGCTGGCGGCTTCACGTCGCTGACCTGCCTGCCTGCCTGCCTGCCTGCCTGCAGGCGGCGTGCAGTGGATGACGGCGGGGCGAGGCATTATCCATTCTGAGATGCCGGTGGTGACCTCTGGCCAGCTGCACGGCTTCCAGCTCTGGATCAACTTGCCCGCCAAGGACAAGGTGGGCCCCGGGCTGGGCTGTGGGCTTGGGTACCATGGTGCGGGATGCGCCCAAGCTGTGTTCGCCACAGCTGTGCTGTTTGCTGCGGTGTACCGCAGATGTGCAAGCCACGGTACCAGGACCTGCAAGCCGACGACATCCCGGTGGCAGAGAAGGACGGCGCGTCAGGTGCGCACGCCTGCTCCCAGCTCCCCGCTCGCTCCCTCGCTGCAGCCTGCTTCAGTGCCCCTCGCCGGCTCCTCCACGCAGAGTCCCCGAGAAGCGACTCCCGCCAAAGTGCGGCAGCGGCCTCACAACCTGCACCCTTCCTGCCCGCCCCTGCCCGCCCCCCGCAGTGCGCGTGATGGCGGGCAGCAGCCTGGGCGTGGCCGGGCCCATCAAGCTGCGCAACCCGGGGCTGCTGCTGGATGTGCGGCTGGCACCCGGCGCGAAGCTGGCCCAGGTGAGGCCATGCATGCCGCTGGCGGGCGCGGGTGGGAGGGGCCCCAGCCAGCCGCCATGCCGCGCTGCGCCGACTTACTCTGCCGTGCATGCCACACCTGCAGCGCATCGCCCTAGTGCTTTCTCACCCGCCTGCCTGCTGGTGACGCCGCCCCCGCCTGCAGCACGTGCCGGAGGCGTGGAACGGCTTTGCGTACGTGTATGAGGGGAAGGGCCGCATCGGCGACAAGTCTGCGCAGCCCGAACATGCCTATGTGCTGCACAACGAGGGAGACACGGTCGGTGGCTGCTCCGCCGCTGCTGCTGCTGCTGCTGTCGCGCATGCACGTGCGCTGGCACGCGCAACATGTTGCACGGCCAGGGCGGGGAGCCGGGCGGGCACCACGCCTGCTAGGCAGCTGCCTGCCGGCTGCCTGTCTGTCTGTCTGTCGGCCTGCTGTCGGCCGTGCCCCTGGCTGCTCCAGTGGCAGCAGCTTACAGCACCCGCGCTGCGCTTGCCCTGGCTGCCTCCGCGCAGGTCCAGGCCACCGCGGGGGAGGAGGGCCTCAAGTTCCTTCTCATCTGCGGCCAGCCCATCGGCGAGCCCATCAAGCAACGTGAGGAAAATGCGATGCTTCAGCCTGCTTCCGTGTTGGCTTGATGCCCATGTTGCGGGCGCCACTGCCTTTAGTAGTCACAGCTGGGGCCCTGCCCACCCCTCGCCACCGGTGCCATGCTCCCGCTGCTCTTTCCGTCTGCCGCCCCTCGCCGCCTGCCCCCGCCGCTCCCCACCCTGCGCCGGCCCCTGACCACCTGCTCCCGCCTGCCCTACCCTGCAGATGGCCCATTTGTGATGAACACGGATGCTGAGATCCAGCAGGCATTCAGAGACTACCAGAGTGGCGTGCTCCAGAGGGCGGAGGACAACCCTTGGAAGGACGATGAGGAGCTGTGAGCTGTGCTGATGTACTGATGTACAGGCTGTTGGTGAACATCACCCTCTGCGCCAATGGCCCGGCCCCTGCTCTGGCCTCCCACTTGGCTGCGCCTGTTGCGCGGTGGCGGGCAGACCCGCCTCAACTCTTGGCTGCCATCCTCCACGCACCCCTGCCACTTCTCCAACTCGTGGCTGCCAGCTGTGGCCAGCATGGAACCGTCCCCATGTTGTTTTTGAGGACGGGCAAGCTGCACACCACCCGTTACTGCCAGCTTACGCACGGTTGCAGATATGCTCCTCTGTACCAGCACCCCTACTGTTGACATCAGCCTGACTTTGTTGAAGGACTTGCAGCAACATTGTAAAGCAGCGCATCAAGCTTGCTGTCACGTGTACGTGCAGTGCCACTTCCAACCCACGGCCTCGCCAAACCTGCACGCCCCCAGTCTCTCCTTTTGCCTTCCAGGCAGTGCCGGCAGACGGACCCCGCATCTTGCCAGGCGGGGGATGCTGGCTGGCACTGGCTGGCTGGCTGGCGCTGGCGCGGGCAGGCTGGCGCAGGCGCAGGCGCCGCCGCTCGGCCGCTACTCGGGGCGGTACGCCGCGCACAGCTCCCAGTAGTGGCCCACTTTGTGGTCTGACAGGAAGGTGCGGGCGGCGGCCTCTGTTTGGAAAGTATCGGACTTGAACTTGCGGAAGGAGCGCTCCTTGACCACGCCCTGCACGGCGCGGCGCAGCGTGCACAGCGCGCGTGGGCAACCCCCAGCTTGCTGCTGCTGGCCCAGGCTGGCGCGGCGGCTGCGCCCCAGCAGCAAGGGCCCCGGCAGCAATGCCACGTGCCCGGAAACTACCAGCAGCCAACCGTGCTGCTGGCTCCAACCGCCCTCCCTGCCTTTGCCCCCTCACCTGCCAGACCAGGTGGCAGTAGTTGGGCGGCTTGTTAGGCTTGGTAGGGTCTTCCTCCTCCTCCTCCTCCTCCTCCCGCCGCGCATTCCAGTCGATGCGCCGCAGCATGAGCTTCTCGTACCTGCGGCGGTGGTACCGCAGGGGGCGGTGCAGCGAGCGGCGGCGGCGCATCAGAACCCATGGCGTGGCGCTGCCACGCCGCTGCTGCCACGCGGCGTCGCCTACCCCACCCTCTCTGGCTCGGCGCTACCCCTGGCGAGCAGGACCAAGCTCCGCGCTGCACACCCACACTGGCACCCAACCCACGCCTCGCGCGCACACACTCTCCTTCAGCCCACGCCCACCTGCGCAGCGTCTTGGGGCTGCCCTCCACCACCACGATGGCAAAGCCGTCTGCCTGCACCAGGCACGCCCCCGTCATGTGGTTCTCCCTCGCATTCACATCCACCTTGAACCGCAGCTGGGCGTTTGTCAGGTCCCCAACCTGTAGCAGGCGAGGGAGGCAGAGAAGGAGGGCAGCTGGGAACGGCGGCGGGGTGGTGGGGACGGGAGGTCGGTTGGGCGGATGGCAACGGCAGGGTGGATGCGTGGGCGGCGTGGGCGGGAAGCGCAGGCGCAGGAACGAAACAGGAGAGGGAGGCGGGCCAGGGAGGGAGCACGCGAGCTCGCCAAGCAGAGCGTGCAGGCCCAGCAGGCAGGCCCAGCAGGCAGCGCCAGCAGGCAGGCGCACCTTGTAGAGCGCCACATGCGTCTCCACCCCCTCCTCGCCAACCAGCTTCTTCAGCTTCTTGTCCCTGCACCACAACGCAAGCGCGGCCGCGGGGCAGATGACTCTCAATAATCCCTCCTTCCATCACACGCGGCAATCCCCGCGTTTCAGCATACCCCACCTAGCAGCGGCAGAGCTGCGCCTGCGTCCGCCTCTTGCTCTCCACCCTCGCGGGTCGGCAGCCCATCCCATCCCAGCCCGCCAAATCACGCCCCGTGCCAAGCAAACCAAACCATCCCCATCCCCGCCCGGCCCAGCCCGCTCACTTGCGCTCTGCGGGCGTCAGCATGCGGGCCAGGTTGCGGTCCTCGTGCGCCGCCGCCCGCTCCGCCATCTGCTTGCGCACCTCGGCCTCCACCGCCGTGGGGTCTGCGGGGCGGCCGCGGTGGGGACAGGGGACAGGTGGAGCGCCGGGTGGATCCCAGGTGGGATGTGGCAGCGCGGAGTGGCTGCGACGGCATAGGCGAGCGCAGCCCGGCGCGCGCGGGCGCCCGCCGCGCCGGCTTCCCAGCACACAGCTTGCGATGGGACGACCAAGCAGGGCACGGGGCCACCTCGCCTGCCCCTCTCTTCTCTCATACACACACGGCCGCGCACGTGCACAATCGCCGCCACACACGCCCACACACGGCCGCGCACGTGCACAATCGCCGCCACACACGCCCACACACGCGCCCACAAACCTGCCGTGGCCTCGGCGCCCAGCACGCGCATCAGGTTGGAAATCTTGACCTTGGGCTTGGGCGCCTCCAGCAGGCCCTGCCGCACAAGCTCCTGCTTCTCCTTCTCCCGCGCGATGCGCCGCTGCGTGCGCAGCTTCTTGAGCTCCTGCGGGGCGCGGGTGCGTGGCAGGGAGTGAGCGGCATGACCAATGGCAGCAAAAATAGCCAACCGTCGAGCCACGGGGCGAAGCAGGAGGCAGGTCCAGGAGGAGGGAGGAGAAGGAGGTGTGCAGAAGAGGCGAGAGTGGCGGGGAGCAGGTGCACGCATCACAACGTGCATCCCACCCACCCGCTTGGTCAGCTTGAGCGGCTGCGGCGGTGGCGCGGGCGCCTCGGCTGGCGGCTCTATCAGAACGGGGTGCTCCACGTACAGAGTGATGCGACCCTCCCGCAGCTGCGGGGCAGGCACAGTGAAGGGGAAGCAGGGGCGGAGTTCAGCGGCGTCTGCAGGGCAGGGCCTGCGGCGGCGGTCCAGCTGCCCCTGGCTGGCCCCTGCTGTGCCAGCGCCAGGAGCAGTAGCAGCTTCCTTCGCCACGCGGCTGCGCAGCAGGCTACACGGCGCAGGCCGCGCGCAGCAGCAGCACGCAGCGGCACCCAGGCGCCAGCCGGCAGCGGCGGCGGCGGCGGCCGGGCGTCGCACCTGCGCGGGCGCGCCCTCCACCACGCCTCCATAGGAGGTGGCGTCAGCCAGTATGCGCGCATCCCACCACTCCACCTCGGGAATGGGCTCCTCCGGGGGCTGCTGCTCCGCGGGCGCCGCCTCGGCCCGCACGCCCAGCGGTATCAGGTTGGCGTCGCCGGCCGCAGCCGCCGCCGCATCCGCCTTGCGCCGCTCCGCCAGCTGCCGGGCCGCGCCGTCGCCATACTTGGCCTGCGCCATCATCGTGCATGGCAGAGCAGGCAGGCAGGCAGGCGGGCAGGGTGAGCAGGTGCTGTGCGGGTGGCGGGAGGTGTGGGCAGGCAGGCAGGCGTGTGGGCCGGGGTTGGCAGCGGCAGGCAAGGTGGGCAGCGGGCGGCCCCCAGGGCAAGAGCTACGGCACAGCGGTGCAAGCGGAGCGGCCGCGTGCAGGCGGCGGCGGGCGCACCCGCAGCCGGCCGATCTCGGCCTGCTTCTGCAGCTTGCCCTCCTCCACAAAAGTGAGGGAGGCGCGGGGGCGGCGCTGCATGCGGCGCAGCCCGCGGTTGCCCAGGCCCGGATCAAAGAACCTGCGGAAGAGGGCGTGGGAGTGGGAGGCAGCACATGAGTGGGTCAGGCAGGTAGAGGTGGGTTGGTTGGTGGGGTGGAGCGGGGTGCATGCACGAGCAGCAGCTGGTGCTAGAGGGGGTGCCGGACCGCAGCGAAGGCACAGCAGGCGGCCCGGCGGCGGCATCCAGCGAGGCACCCCCGATGGCCCAGACCCTCGGCCCGGCGCCCCGCCCGCTCACTTCTCTGCATCCTCCTCCTTCTGCTGCTCCTGCTGCAGCTGCGCGCCGGGGGCCTGCAGCACAGGCGCTGGCGCCCGCTCAACCACCTTGCCGGTGGCATCCACCTGGCGCCCCTGGTCATCTAGCAAGAGCGGCGGCGGCAGCTTGGTGGCGGGCTTGGGCAGGCTGACGCCCAGCGCCGCGGCCGTCATGTCGGCTGCCGACAGGCCGGCCAGCGTGGGCGCCGCGCCGGGCGGCAGCATGGCCGCCGCCACCGCCGCAGCCGCGGCCGCCACGTTGGGCGCGGGCGGCCGAGGCGCTGCAGCAGCAGCGCCAGGCTTGCCAAGCTGCAACACAGATGAGGCGCATGGTTTCAGAGCGTCAGAGTAGTGAGCAGCGCACCCTGCAAGCCGGCCACATAAAGCGCCGCCGCTCACGCCTACCGTGATGCCCGCCTTCTTCAACCGTTCCGCCAGCTCCTTCTGCTTCTGCAAGGCCAGCTTGGCCTGCTGCAGCTTCTCCAGGTCTATTCCCAGCCTCCTGGGAACGGTGGCGCCCGCTGCGGGCGCCCCCGAGCCTGCTGCTGCGCCGGCCGAGCTGCCATTCTCCACCCGCTGCCGCTTGGCTGCCGCCTCCTCCCCATCGGCAGCTGGGGCCTCTTTGCGCTTCTGCTCCTCGCTGCCCATGCCCCGCCTAGAGCCACCGCGCCTGGCTGTGTGGCTGCAGGGCCTGCTAATCGACTGTGCCTGCAGAAGCCCGATACGTGAAAGAGCCGCGGGTGAGCTTGCGATGGGCTCCGATCGGGACTCCTGACCTGCACGGAGTTTAGAGTGGAAGCTGATGCCCACACTTGACAAGAACGATGCGGTGGACACGATCGAAACGGCGTTCAGGAGTGCCGAGGCTCCAGAGGGTACATGTACCGCCACCGCCTGCCGCGCCGCCTGCCACTCGATGCTTTGGGCGAGGGGCCTTTGGGGGCATTGACTGCAAGCATTGACTACTAATGAAATAATTGACTACCAGGACTGAGTAAGGCAGCACACCGACCTTCATTGCGGCAGGTGCTGCGCTCGTCGCTCTTCAAACCCCGCCACCTCCTGAAGCCACCAAACACGCTTCATTGCTCAGGGTTTGCAAGTGCAGGGCAGTTTCGAATATGGTTTGAGTGGGGGATGGGGGGTGCTTGTACCAGCATCCCCACAGCAGCATCAAGAAAGAAACGGGTCAAGGAAACCCCCGGCGAGTCAGCCGGGCACTCTCACACAAGCATACTTGGCGAGCAGCAAGGGCGCGACCAGCGGCGCCGGCTCTGCCGTAGGCATACAGATAGGGAGGAAGGAGTAGGATAGGTAGGTGATCAGGCCAAGGGATCTCAAGGGGGCAGGTTTTAATGTCAGGGCTCATATCCACTAGCAGGTTTCAAGTGCTTCCTAGCATCCACGCTGTTGGTACAGCCGGGCAAGCAGCTTGCCCCGGCACCCCGCTCAGCCGCTGCCGGCGGCCGCCAGCCTGCCAGGGCCGGCCGCCGCGCTGCCGCTGCCGGAGGGCAGCACGCCCCCGCCGCTGCTGTGCTGGTCGTCTTCAAGCAGCAGCTGGCGCAGCACGGGCAGCGCCCGGCTGCGGGCCGCCTCAAACTGCTCCTCGTAGTCGCCGTAGCTCCAGAAGCTGACGCCGCTCTTGGGCGACTTGACGACCACCGCCTTCTGGTGGGCTGCAGGCAAGAGCGAGCGCACGCGCAAGGGCAAGCAAGACAGTCAGGCAGAGGCAGATGCTCAGGAGCCAGGGTTGCAGTATTTGGGAGGCTAGGCGCACTCATCAGTGCTTATGCCGGGCACAACCCCGGCCTGCTGCCCGCCAGCCCGCCAGTCGACTAGCCCGCCTGCCTCCTTGCTGCCAGCCCACCTAGGCCCGCGGTGTTGTCGTTGCCGCTGAAGGGCGAGCTGCGCCCAATGAGGTGCACCACAGCAGGAGCGGCAGCCGCTGCATCGCTGCCGTAGCGGTTCTGCCGCCACAGGTCCAGCCCTATCCTGCACCGGATGCCGCCGTCGATGAAGGGGCCGTCGGCGCGGTCTGGCACCGGCACCGGGCAGAAGATCACGGGGATTGCGGCTGAGGCGGAGACGGCGGCGGGCAGGCAGCCGCGGTCAAGAAGCACGTGCCGGCCGTCGGCGCCCACCACGCCGCACGCAAAGTCTGCAGGATGCAGCAGGGGGCAGGAAGGGGCACAGGTCAGAACGCAGGCAAGCAGGCTACATGATCAAGTTCGCGAGTTGGACACATGCTGGCAGGCCATGTGGCTGAGGTGCCTGCACGGCTTGCTGCGCATGCTCTGCTCCTGGCAGCCCCGCCGCAGCAGCCCTAGCCCTGCTCACCCCGGTTCAGCTCTGCAAAGCTGCCCGGCAGCAGTGCCTGCAGCTCCTCAATCAGCGGCGCCATGGACAGCACGCCCTCCCAGGGCCGCCCGTGGCACTTCAGCCGGTCGATGGGCGCATGCTTGGAGAACTCTGCTACTATCTGCACGGAGAGAGAACAAGCAGGAGAGGGAATGGGAGGCAGGCAGTGGACGGGGCAGGTAGTGCATGGCAGATGGGCGGGTGGGGTCACCAGGCCTGGGCCACTCACCTCCCGGGGCGTGTAGCCGGCAGCATACATGGAGCCTATGAGAGCGCCAGCCGAGGTGCCCATGATGCCGTTGATGGGCAGGCCCACATCCTCCACTGCAAGCAGCACGAGGAAGTATGAATGCACCAGCATGATGCGCGAGCGTCAGCGCACAGCGCAGGCAGAGCGCGCTGCAGCAAGCATCGACAGCAACCGCACCTGCTTGCAGAAAGCCGCAGTGGTTTGCAAATGCCTGCAGGGGAAGGAGCGGGGGTTGGAGGGTCAACGAGGCCGGCAGCAATTGGAAGCTTGATTGACAAGCGGAGCCAAGGCTGCATCGCACCGCCACCAGCAACTGGCACTGTGGCTACCCACCAGGAAGCCGCTGCTGAGCACCAGATCATACTTCACATCCCTGTATTCTGCAGTGAAGCAGCAGCGCATGGCGGCATGGAAATGAGTCGTGGCAAGCCCGGCCCTTGGTTTGAGGCGCTGCCCTGGCCTTCCCTTCCCCTGGACAAGCCAGGGCAGGGAAAGGCGGCAACAGTGCCGCCTCGGCGGCGGCACTGCGCGGCGGCGGCACCGAGTGCAACCCCAGAGGCCCTAGGCGTGATTCCCCCCGTTCATTAGAACGCCACTTCCCGGCTGCTCGCCCTGCGCCCAGCAAGCATCGCCAGGCCTGAACCACCAAACTTGAAATGCGGCTGCTGACCTCTCCTGCCCGGACGTCTGCTGAGGGCCACCACTCGACCGCTGCTGACAGATGCCACAGGGGCGCGGCGGGCGGTGACGGGTGGGAGCGGCGGCTGTCTTTGCATACTGGCGGGCGGAGAAGCCCTGGAGGGCTGAGATGGCACAATTGGTGGTTGCAGCGATGATGTGTGGCCCAGAAGACGGGCAGGATCCGGGTTGCAATGCGTTTGGGTCGACCTCCACGTGTTTGTGAGAACAGCATGCTGCACAAACTGTACCCAGCCTTGATGCGCACTCTCTTCTCAATTCGACTGTCAGGGTGCATGACCTGGGGGTTGGGGCTGTGAGCGGGGACAGGCCCTGACATGGCGGGAGGTGCTTGCAGTTGGAGGCACTCTTGGTTGATGCAAGGGGCAGGATTAAAGGCAATCTTGATCCATGAAATGATCAGCGATCAATCCTGAGTCGGGCAAAGGGCCCGCTGCGGGTTGTTGGGCGGCGGTTGGCGTGCTGGCGGCGCTCGTTGCCGCCAATTATTGATATTGATTGAGTCCACACGCCTCTTCGGTCGTTTTTTGGTGATTACACAGGCAGTGCAGAATGAAATCAGGGTCGTTGGGATGAATTTTTCCTAAACATGCACAGGGCCACAGCCACAACAAAATCGGGGGGCGGAGCTGCGAGCTCTGGCGCCGATTGGCACTTATTTGGGGTCAGTTCAACTAAGTTAGGAAATACAATTGCAGTGTGGCAGCGAGCAGCAAGGCACACGAGAGGCGGGGGTTCACAGGTTGCACAGGCTACGGATCCAACCGGTGTGCGGGCGTGGCGGCCAGGAAGGCGGCCCTGTCATCGGTAGCAGACCCTATGTTGACGCGCCCCTGCATCGCCTCCAGCCGGTGCATGAGCTGCTGCGCGGTGGGGCGCCCCGCGGGATCCAGGCTAAGGCACTCCAGCAGCAAGTCGGCAACCCTCTGCAGACAGCAACAGGGTCCAGTGACACAGACGGCTCAGCAGGGAAGCAGCACATGTGAAAAAGTCAGCGTGGCATGGCACCAGCACAGCGCAGCCAGAGCACTTGCCTGCGGGCACTCGTCGGGCACCACCGGCAAGCGGAGCTGCCCACGGACTGGTCGCTCGCCTGCAGTGGGAGGGCAAGAGATGAGGCGGTAGGCTTTGGGACGGCGTGCGGCACGCCCTGCGCACACATAGCGCTTCGGAAGCCGCGCCCAGCCCCACCGACTAGCAGCAGCGGCGCCAGCAGCGACATCAAACTGACTTGTGATGATCTCCCACAGGAGCACGCCAAAAGAGAAGATGTCCACGGCCTGGGTGCTGGGCTGGCTCATGAGGATCTCTGGCGCCACCCTGCGGCAGCAGCCCAGCAGCATGCAAATGTGTAGCCAACACCTGCAGTTTTACACCTGCCCCGGCTGACAGCGGCCCCGCTGGCAACCCGCTGACAACCCCCTTCCAGGACATGGTTCCAAGGAATGCACCCCGCTGCAAGAAGTAGAGTCCCCCATCAGTGTAACATAGGGCAGGTGGGCCCACGAACCATGCAAAGGTGCCAATCATTCCGGGCAGGTCTGAAAGGAAGGTGCGGGTCTGCAAGCGCGACACGCCCACATCTGCCAGCTTGGCAGTGCCTGAGGAAGTCAGCAGCACCTGCAGGGAGGGTGAAAGTATCCAGGTACGGCACAGACGTAAGAAGATGCTGGGCAGAAACACGGGGCAGGCAAGTGGCGCTGGGGCGGTGGCTCGCCTGTCACGCTTCAAACCCCACTCACGTTTGAACTTTTCACATCAAGGTGAACCACCCCCTGCAGGGCAGGGGAGAAGGTGAACACCGCCAGCTCAGGATGAGAGGTGGTGGGCAAGGAAGCGGCAGCAGCCCCTGTGCACAAGCAACGTGGCACGTGGACGCTGCAGTGCTGCAGTACCAACAGTACCATATACATGTGATGTGGCCCCATACCTTGCTGTGCAGGAAATTCAGAGCCTTTGCCACCTCGAACGCGACGCGCCGCCCACTGCGGTACCATCCGAAGACGCGCTCTTGCGTGCGGCTTGTGCGCAGGTGCAGCGCGCTTTGCAGGTCCCGTCCTGCACGGTACACGACAGGGCTGACAAGGTGATGCTGCTGGTCCCACCTAGCGGCAACACAAACGTTGTGACAGACCCAGACAGCCAGCAGCAACCGACTGGCAACGGCCCCATGTGGCTGCTTGCCTTCGCAGTATTCCAGTACAATGGTGCCCTTGTTTCCCTCATCTAGGCTTACACCAAAGAACCCAACCACATTTGGGTGCCGCAGCCCTTGCAACTGCACCGCCTCCTGCAGTACATACGGAGCAGGCAGCAGGCCGGAAGGTGTGACGAGAAGCGCCAGCTTGCATCACATGCACAGCTCCAGGAGAGAAAACATCTGGCTGGCACCACCCGACGCGAGGGAGGCTCACCCGGACAAACGCCTGCGCTGCCTCTGGGGTGCTATCCAGCTTGATCTCCTTGGCTGCCACCTTCTCGCCATGGTACAGCGCCCTCAGCACCTTGCCGCTGCGGCAGTACAAGGCGGGGAGCGCAAACAGGGGAGCAGGCAGGGAGGCAGGCAGGTGGCGCGGTGAGCAGATGGAGCGCCAAGCTAAGAAAGGCGGGCTGTTCTAGGGACACATGAAGGCTGCAAGGGCGGTGGGACAGCCTTTCTGAGCTTGGCCGGTACGGTTGTATTGCAGATTCGGCACAGTAGTGCAGCCCACCTGGCTCCCTCTCCCAGCAGCTGCAGGCTTCCGTCTGAGCGGCGCAGATATTCGATGGCTGAGGCCGGGATGACCCACTCCATTAAACTGGGAGGCAGCGTCGCGGACACCAGCCGTGAGGGCGTGCTGCTGCTGCCGGAGGTGTGCGTCCTGCTGCTGCTCAACGCACCGCTGCTGGCGGTGTTGCCGCTTGCGTCTTGTCTTGCTCGGTGTTGCAGAAGCTCCAGCACCTCCTCTGTGCGCTCTGCGCCCAGCTCCATCGGGGGTGCCAGCCGCGGCCTCATCATGCTAAGCGCAGCAAACGGGCTGGTTGGCACCGGGCGGCTGAGGCGGGGAGACGGCCCTAGGGTGGCAGTCCCGCTGGGCAGCTGGCCGAGGCTGCTGTCAGAGGGCGTCATGCTCGGTACCGCGCCGGGCAGCACCGCTGCTGGTGGGAGGCCCAGGGTGCCAGGCTGGGGCCCCGCCGTGGGGAAGGAGTCGTCTTGGGTGGACTGCTGTCTGTCTGTCACAATCTCTGGGTTTGAGGCCTTGTTCTCGCTGCCCTCCGCCCCCGCCCCCACAACCCGGGACGCCGGACCTGACGACCCGCCGGCTGCTACCTTGCTGCACCACTTGCGCTGGCCCACCAGCAACCAGAGTAGCGCTGCGGCGGCTGCTGCGGCTGCCACCACGCCGACCGCAATGCCAGCGATGGCGCCGGAAGAAAGGCTGGATGAAGAGCTGCTAGGCTCTTCCTCCCGCACATACAGCACACTGCAAGCAGCAAGCAGCACAGCATGCAAGCGATGCGTAACGTAAACCGCTCCGCTCGCCATTCCGCTGTCGAGCAAAGGCTTCCCTCATGAACAGGGACCAGGTACAGGACATGCGTGCAGAATGCTGACCTAGAGGGAGTGCGGATCAGGTTGCTGATGTTGGCGCCCTCCTCGTGCCGGAAGTAAGCCACATTCGCCTGTGAGAGGTACACCCCAGCTGCAGGGCGGGCAGGGACAGGGACATGGCAAGGGGCCGGGGCAGGCAAAACGCAGCAACGGCTGGTCAGGCTTGCCAGAACACATGCAGGCTGGGACAGGCGGTTGTTCGACAACCACATACAGCACATGTGCAGGCAGCAGCAGCTGCTGCCCGGTGCGTGCCTGGCTTGTACACAAGGGCACGGCAGAGGGGGTCCTCTGTGCAATAATCAGCGAGTTCCTGCACTGGCCCCGCCCGCAGGCACTCCTGCAGCTCGGGGCTGTAGTGCACGGCAGGGCAGGGTTGCACCGGTTTAAGGATGCTGGATGACGGTGCTGGTAGCGGGACTGGTGGTGCGCCCTCTCTCTGCCGCTGGCTTTATCATGATGGCATACGCAGCACTATTGGCAGCGTTGCTGCGACCTGCTCCCCAGCCTCACCTCAGCGACCCCTCGCAGTCAAACCCCTGCTGACCAAACAGCCCGCTGCCCAGCAGCCGCGTGTAACCGGGGACATTGGGGCCAGCCACTTCGATGGGTGAGCCGCCAACAAAGCTCACGCCCTCGCCCTTTGCGATTACAAATGCGGGCCAGCCCAGCGCTGGTTCTGCGAGCGCTTGATATCGCAGCTCGCCTGCACAGCAAAGGTATTGCCGGCCTGGAGTGAGCATCTGCAGCCCAAGCTGCGCCAGCAACAGTCGCAGGCCCTGCAGCCAGGCAGGCACCCCGCCCAGCCCCGGCAGCACCGGCTCACATTGGCTCTGGTTGAGGCGAACCTCGGTCCGCATGTCAGTATAGCTGTAGGCGAGATCAGGTGCAACAAAAACATCGAGGTGCAGGAGTGCTGCACGTGTGTGGCAGGGCACAGCATGCATAGCAGGGCCCCCGGGTCCGCAGCGCCAACCCCCGACCAGCAGGCAAGGAGGCCCAACACTCTGGCATGCTGCAGGCCCTGGCTGGGGCAGCTGGAGCAGTCCCCCAGCCCACACATTCCCGTCACCTGCACCCCAAGCACCTAAGCACACACACCTGCAGCCCTGCGGCTGGGCGCAATAGTTGAACACATTGCATGAGTCGTCGTCCCTTGCTCGGCACTCTCGGCAGCATGCCTCTGCCGAACCCACTCCGTCCAGCACCTCCAGCACGTCGCCACCCATCAGCGCCCGCTCTGCGACGATGCACCCCAGCCAGGCTGTGCTGTTGGAAAGATCCGCCCCTGCGCTGTATGCGGCCTCCAACTCAGCCTCGTCAGGAGCGACAACGGTTGTCTCGCTGCTGCCCAGGTAGGTGGCGGTCTGGCGGGGGCGGGGGGGGGGGGGGGGGAAA